TGCATCCAGTCTTAGCCCCAGACTTTGGCAGCAGTTTATGTTTAAAGGATTATATATATGGAATTGAATGTGTGACTTTGTCTTGGCAAACCAAGTATATTTTATGAATAAATGAGTTATTTTATTAATGATGGTAACTATTAGACTAAAAGACCTTACTCAGAATTATTTACTACACAATACAGATAATTATAACTATGAATACGGTGCCCTATTTACTGAAGCAATATTGAAGCAATGCTATTAAAGCAAGCAAAATAATTATTAAGTAGAGATTGAAGTTACTCACCCATAGCAATGGCTGTGGGTAAATCCTGAACCTCCCTCACCCTCGCCCTTCTCCATCCATCCCTGGTAACTTTTGCAAATAGGGTACAGTTCAAGCTGCTTTACCCCCACTTAGGCAGAGAATCCTGCTACAACTTTCTCTCCAGAATTTTAACTCTGTGACTGAGGGTTACAACTGTGGACACCAGGAATACTATGATCATCCTTGCAGCTCCTGGAGCTCAGCTCAGCTTCGCCTGGTATGGCAGGGGACCTCACTGGCAAGGGGAGGGAGGGCAGAGCTGGGCAGGAAAACAAGATATTTCACCGTCAGCCTGGGATGAATTCCCGGTGGGATGATGCTGGCATGGTGCTAATACAATAATGTGGCTCTGCTCGTGGGGAGAGAGAAGCAGATGCCGATTTGGAGATGCAGTGGGATAAATGTTTGCCATGGCTGTGGCAGGGAAGAGCGTGCTCAGCCCCGGGCATCAACACTGCTGCTCTCCAGTGGGATCTTGATCCTGTCTGACAAGGCATTGCAAGCAGCCTGGATCCAGCTGGTCTGGTTTATCCAATCCCAGCGAATGGATCCCTTTGGGATCCCTCTATGGTGCTGGGAATGCCATCCCATCCAGAGCAGGGGGGCTTTAACTAAGCAAAAATGAAAGGGACAAAAGATGTAGGGTACCGTAAGGCACCCCATTGGGATGGGGGGACTTCCCTCCACTCCAGGACAGGCACTTGTAGCCCCACAGCCCCCTCCCAGTGCTGCTCGTGGGGCTGGAGCTGCTCAGCTCAACTCCTCAACTCTGTCCTCGCGTACGGAGCCGGCTGAGCGCTGCAATTCGGCTGCTGCCTCCGTGCAAAGGGCAGTTACAATTTGTCCTTTCATTGCTGGCACCATTTGGCTTTGGTTCCCTGAATGTCTTCACGTCTAATGATGGGAGCAGCTATTTATCTCCACGGAAGCACGGTCGGTCGGAGCCGGGGAAGGGCTCAGCCAGCTGCTGTATGGCCCTTCAGCTTTAAAAATAGCTTTTATTCGCCTCTCTGTTAACACTGTCCCTCTGGTTCCTGAAGATGCTTCGGCTCCCGAGATCTCCTAAGGATGCTGATGAACGGGAAATGGTAATTTTGCACATTGGGATGCTGAGCAGAACCTGCTTTTAGCAGCTGCAGGCACCCCATTAATTAAATCACCGGGCTCGGCAGGGGCTCCCAGTGGTGTTGCCGTGTGCCCGTTGGCACAGCCTGCCCCGAAACCGGGCTGAGGAGCTGCACAGCAGCTGTGGAGACTGGCTGGGAAGCTGCTTATAAAATATTTCTTCCCCCAGGCGGGTTTTTAATTGGCGAGCCGGGGTTTGGTTTGCTTTGCTTCTCTCGGATTAGATGTGACTAATTGGGATGGGGGAAAAAATTAAGTATTTTTATGCATAGCCAGTTTTAAAGCAGGGAGGGTTTGAAAGGCACTGTAATACCTGTCCTTCCAGAGGATGGCTGGATGGCCCAGCACAGGGACAGTGCCTCTGGTTCAAGGCTGCTCCTGGTTTTCTAAATGTTTAAAAGGAAAAAAAAAAAGGAAAAATGGACTTGCTGGCCATAGTGGTGGGATGGGTTGTGGTCCTGCACAGCTTCAAAGCAGGCAGCTGGTTCCTATGCAATCTCCTAATTTTTAGGCAATTAGAAGGAGAATTTTAAGTAGATTTGATGTAATTACTTCTGTCCCCCTTTGGTTGAATCTGCACAAGCTGGAGGATGGTGCTCCAAAGGCCAGCAGCCAGACAAGCTGGCATGGGTTTCCTGAAGGTCTTTGCTTAAAATCTGGGTCCATCCTGTATTTTCTAATAGCACTGGTTCAGCCATGAAATCCCATAAAAATTACCACAAACCAAACAAAACCACCCCAAACCTGTTATTTCTGTAAATATTATTTCTGTTTTCATGTCTTTCTGTAAATGAAAACCACTTCTGCTTTTGGCTGTGGGTGAGCACTCAGAAGTGCCACCAAAGTAGCAAAATCTGACTAGAATGTAAAAAAACCCCCATATATCTTTATACCACTCTAGTTAAAAAAAAACCAAAAAACAACCATATAGTTTTATACAGGTTATATAAATTAAAAAAAAAACCCCAACATATTTTTATAGGGCCAGATATGTCTATCTAGCTACAACCTCAAAAAAAAAAGCTAAAAAATTTAATAAGTAATAACTCAAATACAATCTCAAATATCACACCTTTGTCATAGAAAGTGTATAATATGTTGCACAAGGATATATTTTATATATCATATATATTATATATTATATGGCTTTTATATGTTATGCATTATAAATTAAATAGTATATACTTTTTATTACATATTTTATATTCAAATTATATAGTGTATATTATGTATTCCATAATTTTATATTATACATTATATGTAATGTAAATAATGAAATATATTGTCTATATATGTAATTATTATAATAATTCCTTATTATATAACATATATAGCATATAATATATAATGTATAATAGCATATATGTTATATAATATATAATATAAATAAAATATAATACAAAATATAACGATAATATGAATATTATATATTATGTATATTATACTATAACACAGTAATATATTATTGAATATTAATAAGATTATTGTTATATAATAATATAAACATTATATAATGGATAATAGATAATATATATTATGTACTGTATATTATCTATAAATGATATATTTAATGCTATATAATATTATATATGATGTATACAATATTTTTGGCTGTGTGTGGGGAGGTGGTGTGCCTGTGTCCGGGTGCTGGTCCCCGGTGCCCCCCCGGTGCCAGGCGGTGCCCTTGCCTGTGTTGCAGCACGTACGGGGAGCTGACCAACTGCACGGTGCTGATCGCCGAGAGGCTCGACTGCTACTGGCCCAACCGGCAGGTGGACGAGTTCTTCGTGGCCGTGCACAGACAGTACTTCAGGAACTGCTCCCCGTCCGGGCGGGCGCTGCACGACCCCCCCAACGCCGTCCTGTGCCCCTTCATCCTGCTGCCCGTGCTCGTCACCCTGCTCATGACCGCGCTGGTGGTGTGGAGGAGCAAACGCAGCGAGGGCATCGTGTAGGGAACGCCCCGCGGCCAGCCCAGGGGAGGGACGGGGGGATCTCCCCTGGAACGTGCCTGTTTTTTTGGGAAGACCCTGGCAGAGGAGCATCACGGAGGGTACCAAGCGCTGGAAGCAGAGACAGCATCGCCACTGCTCCTCTTCACCAGTACCCTCTGTGCCACACCCCCGGCGGTTTCCCAATGAATGCATCATTTAAGACAGGGTTGTTGGGCAAAATGGGATTCTGGGGGCCAGGGAGGCTGTCATGGACTGCCCAGGCAGCTGGGAGTCCTCCTGGGATACCGGGGAGCACCACTCACCCCAGGCATCAGCACTGCTCTGCTCCGCCTTTCCCAACTGCTTCCTCCCTGGCAACCCCTGGCATCGTGTGCCAAGAGAGAAATTTTAAAGGGGAAAAAAAAAAAAGTACAAGGAAAGGGGGTGTGGGGAGTTGAAATCCTACTGTTCCCGCAGAGCCGGTGCAGCATCGACGTGTAACCGCGAGGCCGGCAGGTCTGGGTGCAGAGAAACCTCCACGGCTTCCTCTTTTTGTCCCTTTTTTTTCTGTTCAGCACACTTGGAAAGGCATCTTTTCCCCCAGCCCCCAGCCCAAGGACAAGGCCTGCACAGGGTGGGTTTTGCCTGGATGACAGGCAGTGGTGAAAGTTGGCACTGGGAGCTGGTGGCACTGGTGGTGACCGTGGCAATGCCCCAGGGGGCTAATGAGGAATGGGAATAAGGTGCTTTTCCTATCTAAATAAATAAATACCTACATAAACCAGGTGCCTGTCTCTGGTGCAAGTCCTCAGCTCTCACCCCTTCTGTGAAGGCTGAAGTCAAAGGCCCTCCCTTAATGCCCAGAGGCCACCCCAAGTGTTGATCCCCACCCCGTGGACACTGGGTAGCACAGGGGGGCCCAGGGAGGGGGATGGAAGGGCTGCCCCTGAGCCAGCAGGGTCCCTGGGGATCCCTAGAGGGGGGTTCCTGGGTGTGGGTGGGCAGGTCAGGGGTCCACCCCTTTGGCAGCATCCAGGAGTAGAGTCACATACCTTAGTGGGAGACTGGGCAGCACCTGGGATGGGGTGGGACCCCCAACCCTACCACTGGTCTCCACCATCCCCAACAGGTCTAGACCACCCCAGACCCCTTCAGTACCTTGCTGGCTCGGGGTTCCCTGGGGAGACCCAACTGCTATTTACCACTGGCTCTCACATTTCCCAAAAAGCCCTCCCAAATGGACAAGCCAGGCAGTGGGACACACAGCCCTCTGCCTAACCCACCCAGCCTTCTAACCCAAAGCAGTCTATGATTCTACCAATATACACAGAAATACATATAAATACACATATATTTATAAATTTATAACACCCCCCCCCCAGCTCCTTGTGTTCAGGAAAAATTAATTCAGTTTATTTTCCTGGATGGTGAGGTGATGGGCTCTTGTAGGATGAGGATGAGGTGTAACAGTTTCCTGGCCTTGTGCATCCTGCATAGGCACAAATCAATGCTCAGGTCTTCCTGCTCAGGGAAAGGAGGACTCTTAACATTCCTTCAAAGAAAAGATTCTAAGTGTAGGACCACTAGAAGGACAGGCTAGAAGGCACAATGCACAAAACACCTTACTCTAATAGTATTTAACAGTGTCCAAACTTTATTATTCTGCTCATCTTCTCCAGGCAAGCAAAAACACAGGGAAGGATTTTAACAGCAGGATTGTTCTGGAGGTGGGGATGGGCTTTGAGAGCTGCAGCTCTAGCTCTATTCTCTGATACCCCAAACCTGCTGCCCACCCTGGCACAGCTTTCCTGGCTCCTGGAGCAGCACCCTGGAGTTGCTCTGCCCTGGCGCATCTGCAGCGGCTTCCCGGGACAAGTTGGGAGCTAGGCATGGATGACAGCCCAAGAAATGGGCAGTTTGACCCCTTTTCCTGAAAGATGGAAGGTGATAACACTACCAGGGTGCCACTACAGCAAGGATTACTCATCTTCATTACAGAAAACTGGTTCAGAGTTTTCAGCTCAAAAACAAGAGAATTCTTCTGATGTATTTCTGGATGTATTTCCCAACCTTTCTATTTTTGTGAGTGTTTTACTTCTTACCTTCCCTGACATTTCTGTTTGGGCAGCAAAGATCTCTCACTGCAGTTGCCTGCTTAAAATAATAGGCTGATCCATGTTTCACTGTGAACAGACAGGGTGCCACTATTATCCTCAGGCGAAGCTCTCCTGCATCCCAATCCCTGCATTTCATCTCCCTGCTTTCCCAGACCTCCAGTAACAGCTACAGGAGCCTGTGGAGCTGTAAGGGAAAAGGCACAGGGAAAACTTAAAACATGAAAAGTTGTACTGTGCTTACAGTTTGCACCCCAGCTCTGCCACCATCTCTCACAACGGAGATTATTTTGATTTCTTTCAGCATCTGCAGAGGAACAGCAGGAAAGAATGAAGGGGGTAAAAACCCAACAGTCGATGCCCAAGTGTCACACACACACCTGCTCTGTAAAAAACCACACAAACATTTATTTCTATGGTTTATAAAAGCTCGAGTCGGTTCCATCACCTCCCTCTGCGTGATCTCAATCCCGGACGATGCCCAGGGAGCTCTGGCACACGGACTGAAGTGATTCCTGAGGTACATGCTACTCTCTCCTGCAGGCTCCCTGCTCACACACACTGTGTCTGCCACACAGCTCCTCACAGAAAAGGCAATTACAGCATCAACATCCTTTCCAGTCACTGAGAAAGCCAAGCGTGCACGGATGGGGTGTGGTGTATTATGGGTCCCAGCTCCATCATTCCCTTCCAGTGCAGGAGTCTGGAGAACACAATTAGGTGTTCTCCAGGTAATGGTGCCTGAATTTACTGTTGTCAGATCAAACAGCATCTCATGCTCCCTCACCACATCCAGACCAGAAAGCCAAAGGTAGATTTCTTAAAAAAAAAAAAAATCTCCCTTCCATTAAATTTTTACAGAAATATATAATATATATGTAATTTTTACTAATACTAAACATTTACTTAAGTTACCCATTAGCCTGTATTTCTTTTAACTACTTCACACAATGAATAGAAACAAAAAAAAATACTGTAGCCCAAACAGGGGCTGAAATTAATAATGTAAAAATTCCAAACTGTGACAAAAACATACTTACATTAAATAGCATTGAGAATTTCAATACCAGAAGTAGAATCTCATTTTGCACTTGCATTCTGGCAAGCTCTAAGCCTCAGCTGAGCGACTCCTGGGAAAAGCTCATATTGTTTCTGCTCATCGAAGGCAACAGTTTTGTGATTTGGTTCACAGGAGACCATTTATTGCCAACTCCGAGTGTTCCAAAAACACGCCACCTTTTCTGTTTGGGTTTGTTTTCCTTCCCCCCTCCAGACTAGGCAAGAGTTAAAAAAAAAAAAGTGTAATTACAATTTCAATAGTGATTTCTTTAACTTCTCAAGCATATCTCATCAACAGGATATACAGTACAGTTCAGAAGAGTAAACATTTTTTAAAAGGAAGCAAACAACTTTTTCAACCAACAGACACAATTTCTTGCTGTATTTATGCTGAACTCTCCTTTGAACATGGACAGGTTATGAAGTTAGTTTTTCTTCTTCAGTACAACATGGACACAGGACTAGTACAATCCGGGCTGGTTTATTGTTGTTGTTGAAGTTAAGGACAACTCTAGTGTGGAAGCCATGGTCCTGCCATCCTTCTCCCTTCATCATCTCGCGTAGCGCTTAATGTAATCTTCAACTTTATTCCGAAAGTCCTCCTAGAGGGAAGCACAGGCACAGTTACCCCGAGCACAGCAGAGATGGATTCCTGTGGGACTGTGCACGGGTGCATTCCCACACTGGCACTGGTAGGGTGAAACTGCCTCCAAGGGAAAGGCCCACTGCTCTCCCAGAGACCCAGGTTCTGACGGTCCAGTCCTTGCTAACGGGTGTCCACGTTCTGACAGGGATCCTCTGGGGAATGCACTGGGCAAAGAGTTTCCCATGGAAACGGGGTCTGACTGTTCTATAACCTCTGTATCCAGGGGAAAACACACAGTTCTGGTACTTCATAAAGCACAGAGATGCCGAGCATGAGAAATTCTGGCATGATGTGATCCCTGTCCAAACTGGGATGTCAGGCCGATGCCACATTCCTGGTATGTTATTCCGAGCCTGAACCTTGCCTTCTGTGCCTACAACCTCGTATTAAGTATGTTCCACCCAAACACACTGAGGCACCCGTGCTCCAGAGTCAAGTGGGGCTTTCACAGCAAAGTGCATTTTGCTTTGTTTTCAGTTCCCCATTTTGTGTGCTGCTAGAATATAAAGCAGGAAAACCTGGGAAATTTATGTACTCACATCTGTTTAAAAAAAACCTAAAAAAACCAATGTATGCAACAGATTAAGAGGTTTTGAACACTGTCCTGGTGCGCTGGAGCTGCCTGGTGAGCAGAGCCAAGGCTCTGCTTTTACTAAAAAGGGCACAAACCTGTGGAATCACAAGGCATGGTCCTGCTTCAGTGTCACTTCTCAGCTCCAGGTTTGCTGACATGTAAAATGACACTCTTTGAACACAAACTGTTCTGGTACAGATCACTCAGCAAAGAACTGCACATAACACCAGGACAAAGCAGTAATATGGCCTTTTTGCCTTAATAAGCCTTGAATGCATCTATACTTCCTTGGCTCCAACACCACGCTTCAAACACCTACACGTCAGTTCCCTTTATGGCAGTTTGGTTTTCAGCCACTGAGTTTTTCTACCAGTGAAAAGATAGTTTATCCTATGGTTAAAGTCCCAAATCACAGGATCAAAGAACTATGATCCACCAGAAAAGCTGTTCACAATTTCAATTGCCAGCTGATATAGTGCATCGCAGAGATTCCCATGAACTATATGCAAAGTGCTCTGAATCTCAAAGAAGTTTAAAATGCAGTTTAAGGCCAAAAATATTGTATCAAAAATATAAATGCAGTTTAGGGGAAAAACCCCCTCTGCTAAAGGCTCTTCTCAGGAGAGTTATGGATCTGAGCTTTGGCAGAAATAAATGCAGAGAGCAGAAGTGAGAAGAAATCACCTGGAGATGCCTGACACCTTGGCACCAAGAGCTCTAGGTGTGGTGAGCAGCCCTGCAAGCACTGACTGCTGATAGAAGCCAGGGCTGCAGAAATCCCTTTCCTCCTTAGGGACAGGCTGCCTGCCCTTCTTAGGAGAAAGGAGCACCTATTTTGGCACAATATGGCACCTACGAAAGGCAATATTCTGTGTAGTGACTTTTACACTCTGCTGCAAGCACACATATTTCCACGCTTGTACAACTGTTAAGTGCATTAAAAACCTAACACTACAGAGCTAATACCATCTTCATTTTAAATGAAATTTCTAATACCAGGCAATTTCAAGCTATAGATGAAAGAAAGTTATGATAGCTGAGTATCACATTAAAGTGTCACAGATGTCTGGCTGCCCCAGGCAAGAACCACCTCTACGTACCTCGAGTCTGTTAAAATACCACCCAAACAAAAAGAAAATTGACCTTTTGAATTTGTTTTCAGCTCTGGTACATTGTGGACTACCACTAACATTGTGGTACATTGTGGATACAAACTAACTCATCATGGCAAACAATGCAGGAACACTCATTTACTGGTTATTTGTGCCTGGTCTGGGGCACTCAACATTGGAGCATGTTGGTCACAACACTGCACCTGACAGATGAAACCTTCCGGACTCCTCAATGGCTTACTGGCTTTAAGTTGGAAGAGGGTAGATTTAGGTTGGATATTAGGAAGAAATTCTTGCCCTGGCACAGGTTGCCCAGAGAAGCTGTGCCTGTCCCATCCCTGGAAGTGTCCGTGGCCAGGTTGGACTGGGCTTGGAGCAACTTGGGCTAGTGGAAGGTGTCTCTGCCCATGGCAGGGAGTGGGACTGGATGAGCTTTAAGGTCCTTTCCAATCCAAACCATTCTGTGAATCTATTCATTACTGGGGTACAGAGCTAAATATCAGAGTGCCAGCCATAAAGGCAGTAAGATCCACCTTGGGAATAACGTTGATTTTTTACAATAACCAAAATAGTGACACTTCCTAGTAGTTTTTTCCTCGTTTTACAACCATCCAGGGTCTCTAACACTTGCAGTTACAATTCCCAGTGTTGTGGAAACTTAATTAATTAACTGAGGGCTTACTGTACGTTATTTCCTACTCTTGTGTCTCTCCAAGAGATGGGTCACTAAAAGAAATTGGGAACAAGAATAAGAAATACCACTGGACATGCAACAGGGCCAACTGCACCTTCCTCTGTGTGCAGTATCTGAGAGCAGTGCAGACAGCTCAGCACCCTCTGCTTTTTCATCTGTACCTTTATGAGGTTAGTAAACATGAAGAGGGGCTCTCAGCAGTGATTTAACGAACACAAGACCTCAGTAAAGGAGGAAGGCTCCAGAAGTCCACGCTGTCACTCAGGCAGCCTGGGATGAAGGATCTAGTGTTGGCAGGAATATATTAACACAGTAATCCCTGGATGTGAACCTGGCTGCTGAACAGAAGGTGCTCATCCCAGAGCTGACACTCCATCTTCACGTGCCATATGGCTCAGCAGCTCCTGATTAATAGGGAGCACTTCTCTCTGTGCACATCTGTTTATGTGCAGCACTGAATAATCAAATGCAAAAAAATTAATCAAAGCAGCACATATCTTGCATTATAAAGAGGTGCATACAAAATCCTGCTAGGAATGCTCAGGGAAAGAAAAAGGACTCATCCCTTCAAGGGCAGATCCTAAGTGTACGACCACTAGAAAGACAGGCTAGAAGGCAGGTTGCCCGAAATATCTGCTCTTATGAAAAAAACAAATCCTCCTCCTTGAATGGAGCTTGTATCCTGTGGGAGACTCCAAGGAACTGTACCCAAGCCCGGCTCTGCATTAGTGCCCTAGAGCCCAAGCATCCTTTGATGCCAAGACAGATGAGAAAAGCATAAAGTCCTGTGGTCTGATGGTGAGAGGGAGAAGAGTCAGGAGGTTTGCTGCTGGAACTCCCCCCCATCAAAGCAGCTCTTGTCAGTGGCCATTTCTGCTCCTGCCAGACCCTGAGCAGAAATGGTCACTGACATGACTCTTGACCCTCACTGACCACGGCTGAGGGGGTGGTCGCTGTGCCCAGTGGGGCTCCTGACACATCCCTCTGGACCTGGATCACATCCCACTGCTAGCCTGGCTGGAGGCACAGCTGCCTGCCTCTACACCAAGTAGTTTCCCATGCCATCAGAGCCATCAGGCCAAATACTGATGAAGGGCAGAGGGCTGACTGTCCCTGTAGAACAGAAGCACTGATGGTGGAACACATGAAACTTCACCAGAAACGACTCAGCCAGTCATTAAACCCTGACATGGACCATCAGTGAGTCCTGGAAACACCACATGGAGGAGCTTTTCAAAGGGGAAATCTAATTTTAAACTACCAGCATTTGCCCTTCATCAATCTCACTGTACTGTAAGGGAGGATAAAGCTGCCCTTGGGTTCTCTGGAGATGTGCCAAGGAGGAATGAGGCTTGGGTTTCTGTCTGGGAGCAATACCTGCCACACTGCCTTAGGGGTGGAGAGGTCTGTGCCTGAGCCAGACCTCCTCTGTGCAACACAGCCCTGGGATTTGGGGACAGAAATTAGACACTGGCCTCGTGGGCAGGATGGGAAACAAACCCATCAGAATGATGGTCACCCCAGGACAGCACAGAAACAGAACAGGACCTGTTCCAAACAGGTCTGGTTTGGACCAGAACCAAAGCAGCTCTGCAGCACCCTGAGCTGTGAGAGGTGAGAGGGAGAACACAGCAGTACATCAATACCCTGTGGGAAGTATTTGCTACATGAGTAATGCTGGCCAAATCCTTGCTTCAGTTGATGAAAATCAGATGGGGACAATCAATCAAAGGGAAACTCAAAAATCATCAGTGGAGGAAGAATATGAAATATAAATCATGGCATATTTCTGAGCTGAGAACTGGCTACAGTAGAGACTGTAAAGCTAAAACATATCCCACAGAAATTGTCCTTTGTATTTCAACAAAGACGTTTAGTAAATAAGCAAATACCAAATATATATAATAAACAGGACAAGAAGCGATGGTTTTAAACTGACAGAGAGCAGGGTTAGATGAGGTATTAGGAAGAAATTCTTGGTTGTGAGGGTGGTGAGGCCCTGGCACAGGCTGCCCAGAGCAGCTGTGGCTACCCCATCTCTGGAAGTGTCCAAGGCCAGGTTGGACAGGGCTTGGAGCAACCTGGTCTAGTGGAAGGTGTCCCTGCCCATGGCAGGGGGTTGAAAGGAGATGAACTTTAAGGTCCATCCCAACCCAAATCATTCTGTGATTCTACTGAAGAGCACTTGGGAGAGGATCTGTAGAGCCCCAAATCCCAGAAGAGAATTACATCCTGCCATTTCTAGAAGCACATGGAAGCACACACTCAAGAATGAGTTGCTGTTTCAAAAACTGGGGTTTGACCTGATTTGGCAGCTCTGAGAGAAAAGCCTTTATCTTTTCAACTGTTTATATTGCACTAAGTTATACTGATTAACTGCTAATGTTTTATTTAAGCTTTTATTTCTAATCCAAAGAAGATCTGCTCAGTAATCCAAAACAAACACAATACTTCTGTGACAGCTACCAGAGAAGTCTGGAAAAGTTGTAATGGAAACTTTCTCTTGGGAATCTTTTTTTTTTTATTTATTTAAAATGAATGTATATGTAAGAATTACCCAAAAATAGTAGTAATAA